AATGAGATACCATCTCACACCAGTTAGAATGGCAATCATTAAAAAGTCAGGAAACAACAGATGCTGGAGAGGATGTAGAGAAATAGGAACGCTTTTACGCTGTTGGTGAGATGGTAAAATAGTTCAACTATTGTGGAAGACAGTGTGGTGATTCCTCAAGGATCTAGAACTAGAAATACCATTTGACCCAGTGATCTCGTTACTGGGTATACATCCAAAGGATTATAAATCATTCTACTCTAAAGTCACATACACACATATATTTACTGTGGCACTATTCACAATAGCAAAGACTTGGAACCAACCCAAATGTCCATCAATAATAGACTGGAAAAAGAAAATGTGGCACATATACACCATGGAATACTATGCAGCCGTAAGTCGGGGGGAAACCATCATTCTCAGCAAACTATCACAAGAACAGTAAACCAAACACCGCATGTTTGCACTATAAGTGAGAGTTGAACAATGAGAACATATGGACATAGGGAGGGGAACATCACACACCAGGGCCTGTCGGGGGGTGGGGGACTAGGGGAGGAATAACATTAGGAGAAATACCTAATGTAGGTGACGGGTTTATGGGTGCAGCAAATCACCATGGCACATGTATACCTATGTAGCAAAACTGCACGTTCTGCACATGTAACCCAGAACTTAAAAAAAGAAAAGGATATTCAGAGTGACTATAGTTAACAACAATGTATTGTGTATTTCAAAGTAGCAAGAAGAGAGGATTTGAATTGTTCTTAACACATAGAAATGATAAATATTCAAAGTGATGGGATACCTCAAATATTTGACTTGATCATTACACATTCTATATATATAACAATATCACACGTATCCAACAAATATGTTAAATATTATGTATCGATGAATGAGTATTAGAATTGTGTGGTTGTTAAGCCCTCAAAGTCATCATATTTGCAGTAAAGGTGTTAAACAAAAGCTGTGTCTATTTGTTAAATCACTATAAATATATATAAACTATATATATAACTATATATATATATAGTTTGCTTATGTTTCAGTGGATGACTTGTTGACTTTCTGCCACATCTTTCAGCAGCAGAGGTCAGTTTATGGGATGATGACAAGGAAGCCTCTTTAGACTTCATGAGGACTACCTCTGTTTTCTTCACCACCCTATTCCCAGTGCCTAGCACCCAGCAGGCACTCAACGAATGCTGCTGAATAAATCAATGACTCCAAAGATAACAGCTTTGGTACAGAGAGAAAATACTTTCATGATAGATTTGGAAGGGACAGCATGGGGGCCACATATCATAGGAGCAGGAGAGGTAAGATGAGGGGCATGGGCTATGATTCCTTCCCCCAAATCTCTGAGACAATTGGAACCCAAGTGGAGTGTGCATTTTGATGGCACAAGGGTAGGGCAGGGATGAGGAGATAATGTTTGAGAAATAAGAAACTGGCACAATGTTTTGACCTTTGTGATGCTGGACTGTCTTGGTGAACTTACTGAACTCCTTGGGGACTCAGTTTCATCATCTGAAAAGTGAAGATAACAATACTGACCACACAAGGTTGCTACAAGAATTAAGGGGAAAAAAAAGCTAACATAAAAAGCACCTGGCACAGAGACGGTCATAAAAGTCATAGTGGGCCCTTATTTTTTCATTTGACAGGTATATATTGAGAGATGGCATACACAGTGGTCACAGGCAGGTACCCAGAGACAGACTGCCGGAGTTTGAACCCCAGCTTTATCACTTAGAGCTGGGTATCTTAGGAAAGTTACTTAATTGTTCTTTGCCACAAGTTTCTCTTCTGTGGAAAATAAGATAATAATGCTTACCTCATCATGTCACTCTGAGGATAAACTCAGTTAACAAATATAAACCACTCAGAACAGTATCTGGCACACAAGCACTTTTTAAGTGTTACCTATTGTCATTATCATATGCTAGGCATTTTCATATTCTTATCCCACTTTGATCCCTCTTAGGGCTGATGGAAACAGTGATAGATAGGAACAGACAGATGTGTTGACATGATGATGGAGGACGTCCCATTAGATGGGCTGGTCTATGTCTCATTAGAATAATGGGTCCCAAATCTAAGCATGCACCGGATTCACCCTGAAGGCTTGTTAAAACACAGGTTGTGGGGGCCCCACCCTCAGAGTTTCTGATTCAGCAAGTCTGGATGGGCTTGAGATTTTGCATTTCTAAGAAGTTCCCAGGTGTTGCTGATGCTGCTGGTCCTGAGACTGCATTCTGAGAAGCACTGTTGTGTAACAAGAGAGGATGTCTGAAGCTCCAAGAGGAGGAAGAAGGGAGGATGCATACAGAGATAGGAGTTCTACAACAGTCCCAAATAGGACTGAGGTATGGACACTAGCAGAAAGAGTCAAATGTTCATCCACTCATCGAGCAAATATTTATGCACTGCCCAGTATGAGCAGGGCCCTGTATTCACCAATCAGTTGCAAGAACAAGGATTAAGCTGAGCAGAAACAACTGTGAGCCAGAGAGGACTATCGACTTCTGAATTTAGCCAGAACAGTGCTGCTATGGTTTGAATGTGTCCCCCAAAGCTTATGTGTTGGAAACTTAATCCCCAGTGCAACAGTGTTGAGAGGTAGGGTCTAATAAGAGGTGAAGTCGTGATGACTCTACCTTTGTGAATGGATTGTGGTTATCACGGGAGTGGGTTAGTTATCTTGAGTGGATTTGTTATAAAGGTGAGTTCGGCCCCCTCTTGCTCTCACCTTCTCTTACCCTTCTGCCTTTCCCCATGGGATAATGCAGGAAAAAGGCCCTCATAAGATGTAGGCACCTTGATGTGAGACTTCCCAGTCTCATGTCCAGTGAGCGAAATAAACTTCTGTTGTTTATAAATTACTTAGTGTCAGGTGTTTTGTTATAGAAACACAAAATGGACTAAAACAAGCACTAAACAAGCTAGGTAAGGCAAGTGATTTAATCTCTCTAGTTTCAATTTCCTGGACCAACAATGGGGATAATAGTTCATATGTACTAGGGTTGTTTTGAGAATTAAACAAAGATAAACGAATTAAACAAAGACAGGATAAACTAAGATTAAGTAAAGCACTTAGCATAGTGTCTGGCATATGGTATGTAACCAACAAATATTGGCTGTTGCTAGTATTATTATTGGGTCACCCTTGCAGATACATGCCAAGAGGTTCCTTGCCATAGAAGGACATTACAGTGAGTGTGGAATTAAATCTCACTAGGCCCAAAACCTAGAATCCCAGAGAGCAGAAAAATAATTTAAATCACAGGATTAAAAATCACAACCTGGCCACAAGGATTGAAAGATGCCTTTGGATAAGGGAGGTATTTGCGTCAGGGTCCTCCACGGAGCCCACAAATTGTACCAGCGTCGCCAGCAGCCAGCTATGGGTATAAGTATTCTTTTTGAGTTTTTTTCTTCTTAGTTTGCAAATGCAAGATAAAAATGAATTCCAGAACAATGAAAATCTGAGATGAGAATTCATTACAGCACATTTGGCCAGGCCTCCTCCTCGGATCCCTCCAGTCTTCTGGGATGTGTTCTGACAACTTGCTGGCTCTTTTCTAAACCTCTGAAAGGGGATGACGTTCCTACCACTTTCCTTGGAAGAATATTCCACAGTGAAATATGACTCACTGTCGGGGTCCTTGTCTGTGCGATTCCCTTTCTTTTCTTGCCCCACTTTTGTCTTACTGTGCCCTTTCACGCAGAGTCAAATGTAAGCCTCCCCTTGAGGAGCGTGTTCTGTGAGGACTGACATTTAAAGACCATTACCACCTCTTAAACTCAGCCCTGTTCATTTGGCCAAGTAAAGCATGTTTAATTCTTTTTAATCTTCCCCCATAAATCAATCTCTACATTCCCTTAATAGTCCTTCTCCTGTGCTTTGAACTCCCTCCAACCTGGCGGTCCCGAGCTCTTGTTCCGTTTAGACTTGAGAATTAACCAGTCAATCACGAAATGCCTGTGCAGGCGAAGCAGCCAGGCCTAGCCAGGGCTCCAAGTGCTCTCCCCACGCTTGGCTGCTGAAGGACATTGCGGGCCCAGAGAAGAGCCCTGTGATCTGCTGAGACAAAGCAAGGCCTGCCTAGTGGCCAACCTTGCTCAGATAGGTGTGCGGCATTTGCTGCTTGCTCCATGATGACCCTTTCAAATGGACCTGGCCCAGCTGGCCAAAGGTCAAGGGACTGCATGGGAAGCCACCTGAGACACTTGTACCTCTCCAGTCTCTACCTCCCAGGGCAGGGACGGCCACTGAATAAGCCCAGGCAGGGTCTTACCTGGAAGGTCCCGGCATGGTCTTCTTCCTTATCACCCTCTCTGTTCTCTTTGAGGGCAATTAATGTGAATCCTCTGAAGTAGGAGGGAGGAGCAGCTGAAAGTGTTACTGCAGAGAGAAAAGAAAGCAGGTTTTAAGTATAAGAATCAATTATTGTCTATTTGTCAAATGGGATAGACCTGAGTTCTCCATCAATATCCCAGACCTGTGGGTTACAGAGGCCGTGGACAGTGGTGAGGCCTTCATCCATTGATTTGAGAACTCTTAACCTCTTCACCCAGCTGCCTCTTACATTTCAGAACCTGTTAAATATCTGAGCTGCTATCTTACTTGGAGATTCTTGCATCAACCAGGGATGTGGTGAGCTCTCTCCCAATAACCACAATTTGATAAAGATAGTCCCTGGTCAGAAACTCAATCTTGACAATTGTCTAACATTACACTTCCATTAGACTGGCCCAAGAGAAAACTAGTTCTTCACAGCACAAAGTCCTGTAGGATGACCTTTGTGGCAGAGGCTGCTGTGTGTTCTTAAAAACGTATTTCGTTTTTTTTTTGTGGAAACTCAGCTACACCACATTTCCCAGCCTCCTTCGCAGTTAAGTCAGCTTTATAACCAAGTTCTGCCCGTGGAAGTGATAGACAGACATGATATACAGTAGCCCCCTGCAGATAAGGCCAAGACACATGCCAAGACCCCAAGTGGATGCCTGAAATAATGGATAGTACCAAACCCTATGCTTACGATGGTTTTCCTATATATACATACATACATACATACATACATACATACATACATATGTATCTATGATAAAGTTTAATTTATAAATTAGGCACAGTAGGAGATCAACAATAACTAATAAGACACAATCATTATAACAACACTCAAAACAGCATGCAATGTAAAACGTATGAATTGTTTATTTTTGGAATTTTCCAGTTAATAGTTTTGGACCACAGTTTACTGCAGGTAACTGAAACCACAGAAAGCAAAACCTCGGATAAGGGAGTACTGCTATACTCTACTTCCAAGCCTGACCTGTACAAACTTTCCACACGACCCTGCACTCTCACTCTCTTGCCTCTGCCTGCTTAATTCAGGGTCCAGCAGAAGACTCTGATGTCCCAGAAGGGCCATGGAACCACAAGAGGGAAGGAAACTGGGATTTTAAACAAACCCATGGAAAATCACCTACTGGCCAGAAACATCCATACTATACTTTGCATGAGCTGGAAATAAACTTACGTTGTGGAGGGTCACCTGTTACAGCAGCTGGAATTATGTCTGTTATACTCTTCCTTCCTACATCTACCCAGGGAACGATTTTTCCATTAAAATCTAGCTCGGCCAGGCACGGTGGCTCATGTCTGTAATCCCAGCACTTTGGGAGGCTGAGGTGGGCGGATCACAAGGTTATGAGTTTGAGACCATCCTGGCTAACACAGTGAAACCCCCATCTCTACTAAAAATACAAAAAATTAGCCGGGCGTAGTGGTGGGCGCCTGTAGTCCCAGCTACTTGGGAGGCTGAGGCAGGAGAATGGCATGAACCCAGGAGGTGGAGTTTGCAGTGAGCCGTGATTACGCCACTACACTCCAGCCTGGGTGACAGAGTGAGACTCCGTCTCAAAAAAAAAAAAAAAAAAAATCTAGCTCAAGGGCCTTCTCAACAAGGCAATGGCGGTCCTCCCTCCCATTGGACCCCCAGTCTCCTGAGATGGAAATCTTTTATTGCAGTATTTTTTTGTACTAAATTGCAATTCTTTGTTGGTTCACCTTCTCCACTGGACTGTGCTAATACAGGAGAGGGGCTGGGTTTTCATTCTCTTTTTATCCCCAGAACCTGGCACAGAGCCTGGCATCTAATAGACATTCAATTCAGGTTTCTTTAAATTGATGTAAATTGGTATTTAAATTACTTTACGGCCTGCATAAAAGTGCTAAGATTCTGGACATTAGATATGGAATTACAGACTATCAGAACTTCAAGCGATCTCAAGTATCTTCTAATTCAGCCCTCCAATTTCATGGATAGGAAAGTAAAACATAGAAAGGTCAACAGACACACCTAAGATCATAAAATCATCCAGTGGCAACTTAGGGTCAGAATTGAAGGCCCACTCTCCCCAGTTTAACACTCTACCCGTGGCTTCACAATATATTCATCATGTTACAGATCTTCCACAAATATTGTCTGATTAGTAAGTTTTTAAACTTTAAAAAATCAATTCATTTGACATATAATATTTGTGAATATGATATGCAGCCTCCTATCGAAGAGGAGCATTTAGTCTTCCAAATTCCTTAAACTAGTTTTAGCCCCGAAAATGAAGTGCCCTAAAGCTCCAACAAATAAAACCACTATCTTGGATAATGTAGTGGCTGGCCCTGAGCCACCAACAGAATGACACAGCAAAGAACTCTAAGACATAAAGAAGGTAAATAACATGCTGTGATTGGCCGGTTCATCCTACAAAAGTAAAGGAGCTACTGATGTCTACAAAAGATCAGATAGAAAAAAAGAAGGGGCTGGGCACAGCAGCTCACACCTGTAATCCCAGCACTCTGGGAGGCCGAGGTGAGTGGATCACTTGAGGCCAGAAGTTCAAGACCAGCCTGGCCAACATGGTGAAACCCCATCTCTACTAAAAATACAAAAAATTAGCCAGGCATGGTGGCACATGCCTGCAATCCCAGCTACTCATGAGGCTGAGGCAGGAGAATTGCTGGAACCTGGGAGGCGGAGGTTGCAGTGAGCCGAGACTGCACCACTGCACTCCAGCCTGGGCGACAGAGCATGACTCTGTCACCAAAAAAAAAAAAAAAAAAAAAAAAAGAAAAAAAGAAAAAAAGAAAAGAAGGAATGGAGGGGGAAAAAAAGCACAATAAAGCAAAGAAGAGTAAGAAAAGTGTGGTGCTCAGTGTCAAGCAAAAAAAATGGTGGTTATGCTGTCAGGGGACAGAGCTGGGAATCTCTGAAGGACAGACAGACAACCAAAAAGCAGTCTTGGACTCTCTAGGGTGAGGGTGGGTGGTCTTCAAGGCCATTATACACAATTCCGGAGGAAGGGGAACAGAGGACAAAGCAACAAACAGTAAGGATATTCCATCCAGATTTCTTCAAATGCCTTTTTGCCATTTTAATGTGACCCTGGCACTAATATATTTCTGCTTCCTATGACCAGCACCTGTGGCTCTTAAGTTGTGTCCCTGGTCCTCAGGTTACCCGAGCCTACTCTGCCCAAGATGAAAGATCCAGCTGCCTTGCATCAGGTGAGTACAATTCTTAGAGGCACTTTACACTCCAAAATGGCCCCGCAGGATCCGATGGAAACTACCTGAAGGGACCATGCGTGGGATCACAGGCTGGCAGGACACCTTCCCAGTTGCTATCCTGCTTCCCCCACTCTCTTACTAGTTTCCCCTGGGAGCACTTCCTTAAAAGAATCACTTGCATCTAAATCCTCATCTGAGGCTTGTGTTATGATTTAAGATATGTTGAAGTTCTAACCCATACTTGGGAACGTGACCTCATTTGGAAATAGGGTCTTTGCAGATGCAGTTTGTTAAGATGAGGTAATGCTGCATTTGGGCGGGCCCTAAATCCCATATGACTTATGTCCCTATAAGAAAAGACGCAGAGACACACAGGGAAGAATGCCACAAGATGACAGGAGGCAGATATTAGAGCCATGTATTTACAAGCCGCAGAAAGCTAAGGCCTGTTAACAACTACCAGAAGCTAGGTGAGAGGCATGGAACCAACTTTCTCTCAGAGCCCTGCAGAAGCAAACACCACCACCAGATACCTTGATTTCAGATGTCTAGCCTCCAGAAATATGAGAGAATAAATTTATGTTGTTTCAAGTCACCAATTTATGGTAATTTGTACAGCAGTCCTAGGAAATGAATACAGTCAGCCTCCAGGGAACCCAATGCAAGACAGATAATCCCTGCTCCACAGCCACTGCCTTCAGGAAAAAGCTCAAACTCCACAGACCAAGAAGCCCTCAGGCTCTGCCTCTCCAGCTTCACTAACCATGCTCCCATTCCCCTGCCATACTACATTTCAGTCTTTGGATTCACTCTCTAGAAGTTTCCCAAAATCCATGTCATGTCGCCCTATTGTATTTTTTCACATGCTACTCATATACCTTTGAATGGTCAAGTTACTCCATTCCTGGCAAACTTCAGAAATCAGCCAAATCTCCACCCTTTGTGTGATGTTTCCTCTGATTTCCCCAGAAAGACTTGGGTGCTCTTTCTCTTGGACCCTACTGGAATGAAAAATACCTACATAATGGGCATAGTAACAGCACTTACCTCGAAGTATCAGTGCAAGATATAAATGAAGTAATATATGTAAAGTCCTTAGTAAAAATGAACTCATTTTTATCAGTGAAAAGAGTATCAAATTAGATTATATTTTGTGTTTATGTGTTGTTCTCATATTTGTAAGACCTTCAAGGGTAAGAACCCATCTGAGCTCAGCACAGTGACCAGTGCAGAGTTGATGTGCAATTAAATTTACTTGAGTGTTCATAGACTGGTTGGCTCAGTATTGCTAAAGATGTCAATGATCCTCAAATTGATCTATCGGTTTCATCAATCTAAATTAAAATCCCAGTATGCTCGTTGTGATATTGACAAGCTGGTCCTAAAATTTATATGGAAATTCAAAGGGCCAAGATTGTCCAAGACAATCTTAATGAAAGAAGTACAAAATTGAAAGGCTTATACTTCCAGATATCAAGACTTATGCAGCTACAGAAACTAAGCCAGTGGACTACAGCAAAGTAAGAAAAATGGGTCAGTTGACCAGTTTAGGGTCCAGGAAAGTTCCACAAATATAGAGAAGCTTGATTTATGACAAAGGACGTATTAAGTTGGTGCAAAAGTAATTGCAGTTTTGGCCATTAATGGTTTTGCCATGGCAAAAACCACAATTACTTTTGCACCAACCTAATACATCAGAGCAATGGAGAAAAGATAATCTTTTCAGTAAGTTGTGCTAGGACAACTGAATGACTGTGTAGAAAATGGTAAATCTTGGCCCTTAACTCACGTAATACACAGAGTAAATTCCACATAGATTGTAGAGCTAAATG